TCACAGAACCTACCCGAATACACAAACTGAGCCGGGTTAGTCACAATGCGTGGTCAAGGGCAGGAGCTCAGCATCATACAAGAGTTCTAATCCCAGCTCTGTCAGTTCCTGGCTGGGTGACCTCAGGCAAATTGCTTAACCTCTGGCCCTCAGTTCTGTCATTTAGAAGATGGAAATAAAAAGAGTGCCTACTTCATAGAGTTGTCAGACTTGATTTAATACTTGAAATACTGCATGTGAAGCACAGAGCTTGGCAAATTTTAACTACTATCTTTTAGAGGAGATTGGTAGGGAGTTTGTCTGCAAGAGCAGAGGCAAAAGTTTTTCTCAGGAGTTCAGATAAACCCTGGTTCTCGGCCTTTTTTGGGGTATGTGTGTATGTTTTTAGGATTTTACTTTTAAGTAATCGCTACACCCAACGTGGGGCTCAAACTCATGACCCCGAGATCAAGAGTCACATGCTCTACCAACTGAGCCAGCCAGGCTCTTCAAATACTAGTTGTTGAATGAAGGGGACGATTTAAGGGCAGTAGTATTGTGTTTGGGCTGCAGCAAGAAATAGGGACTTGAGAATGCCAGATGGGTGGGTCGGCCTATCAGGGTTCAGGCCCAAGGATTTTAGCACGTTTCCCAGAATGACTTTGAATTAAGCAGTTTCCTACTAAACTTTTCATTGAGTTTGCGGATGTCCACTCACTTGAGTGAGTTCCCTGTGCTATTTTGGAAAGCTCCAGACTTTTACACTTCAGATAACTGCTTCTGAATGTCTGCTTTCGTACTGCACTCAAGCATGAGATATGCAGGGACAGAGCTCTCAGTGTAGTTGGGCAGGCAAGTAATTGAATATATTGGAACCAGGCAGAACCCTGCTAACCAAGAGTCTACCATACTCTGCTGATACTATGGACTTTGAGTACTTCCCATCTGGTGGGTTGTGTTTTTGTTCATTGTTCTGTTAAATTAGTTTTTTTTTTTTTTTAAGAAGTAATACTTACATATGGTAAGGTAAAAAGTTACACAGTGAAAAGTAGGTTTCCTCGTTACTGTGATTCTTGATTACTGAGCTCTGCCCAAAGCAGTCACTGTTTCCAGTTCCTTTTGTATCCTTCCAGAAATATTCTATTCATGTATGACTGGGTGCTTACTAAAAGTCTGATCCATGAAGAAGTTTTCATGAGAAAGGCAGGTCATCCAAATGTAAACAGCTTTGTAATATAAAGTTGAGTTATGGCTTGAACACCATAATTACAATATAAATATGAAGATATATTAAGTAAATTATTCTTTGGCCTCGAGAAATAGCTAAGTCAACCATCGTAGCCTACCCCAAGCAGGAGAGCAGCTAGTTCTAGAATAGGCTTTCAGAGGTCTCATCTTCTGAATTAGATGTCTCTGTCTTGTTAAGTTGTGTATAATTTAGGGTTTTTTGGTTGACTTGCTGTCTGAAATTGGCAGTATGGCTTAGTGGGAAGAACAGGAGCCATGAAGACCTACATTTATTACTTTTTCAAGAGATTTTATTTGAGAGACCACACGCGTGCAGGCGCAAGAGTAGGGGTAGGAGGAAAGGGAGAAGCAGACCCCCTGCTGAGCAGGGAGCCTGATGTGGGACTCAATCCCAGGACCCTGGGATCATGACCTGAGTCGAAAGGCAGATGCTTAACCAACTGAGCCACCCACGTGCCCGAAGACCTATATTTAGATCCCAGTTCTGTTACTTAAAACAGACTTTGGGCAAGTTACAAACCTGAGCCTCTCGTTCCTAATATGTAAAATGGATTTACTAAGATCATAATAGGTGGTGTGAATATTGAATGAGAGGTAAATCAAAGCACATGGTTCTGTGGCATATGGCGGCCACTCAAGAAATGAATGGTGGTCAGCTACAGGGCATGTTCCATACATATGTGCTGAACAAATGAGTTGTAAAGCATGCTGGAGCTTTCAGCTTCTCTAGTAACTTCCAGGCTTCCAGATCAGCTTGGAAAGGAGCTTTAGGACTCCATGGCTTTTGTGACTCTGCATGCCTGTTTTTATTTATAGGGCTGGACTTAGGAAAGAGTGGATTGGTGGGGCTGTGCTGTAGCATTTCAGTCAGTTCTTACTTACTTTATCCTTTTGGCGTTGCCCTGGAGGTTTTCCTCTAGGAGTTGAGCTCAGTATTTTTGGTCTCAACACCTGTTCACACATTTAAAAATTATTGTGGACCCAAAATCTTACTTTTATGTGGGTTATATCGATCATATAATTTACCATATTATAAATTAGAACAATAATTTAACATTTATTTTAGATTCATTTTAAAACAATACACCTATATACGTTAACAGAAATAACATTTTTTATGGAAAATAACTCTTTTCCACGTCCAAATTTAAAAATGTAGTGGAAAGAATGACATTCTGCTACATTTTTGCAAAATTCCTTAATGCCTGGCTTAATAGATGATAAATTGATTCTTTTTTCTTATTTTTTAAATTTTTTTATTAACATATAATGTATTATTAGCCCCAGGGGTACAGGTCTGTGAATTGCCAGGTTTACACACTTCATAGCACATACCTTCCCCAATGTCCATAACCCACACCCCCTCTCCCCAGCAACCCTCAGTTTGTTTTGTGAGATTAAGAGTCTCTTATGGTTAAGACAAATGGATTCTTTTTTTTTTTTTAAAGATTTTATTTATTTATTTGACAAAGAGAGATCACAAGTAGACAGAGAGGCAGGCAGAGAGAGAGAGAGAGGGAAGCAGGCAGGGTAGACTCGGGAGGGCAGGGCAGGGTAGACTCGGGAGGGCAGGGCAGGGTAGACTCGGGAGGGCAGGGCAGGGCAGACTCAGGAGCGCAGGGTAGACTCGGGAGGGCAGGACAGGGCAGACTCGGGAGGGCAGGGTAGGGCAGAGCAGACTCCGGAAGGCAGAGCAGACTCTGGAGGGCAGGGCAGGGCCACGCCGCACTAGCCTGTAGGTGAGATCCTGCTTCAGGGGGTGGGGGTGGGGGGTTTCCCCCTCAAGGTGCGCGGATTGTGTTTACATCAAACAGAAAGCTTACAGTTTGTGTCACTGGGAGTTAATACCCAAGGTCTGAAAGTGAGGACTCATGGATGTGAGGCCCCAATTTAGGGCTGTCCTGGAGCAAGCCCCTCTTCTTTCATTAGGAATAACGGCTTACTGTAAGTGAATTCTAAACACTCCCAACGGACTAACTCATTTAACCCTCATAACAACTGTATGAGTCACCTGCTAAGATCATCCCCATTTCACAGATGAGAAAACTGAGGCTCAGAAACATGGAGGCATCTCCCCAACATCCAGCCACATGAAGAGGCGCTTGGGTCCAGGTCTGATTCTACAACCCCAGCTCTCCCCACTGATGTGGGAAACAAAGGCAGAAGAAAAATTATTAAATTTCCTTACTACTCAAAGCCCACTGACAAGTCTTTAAAACAGGTAGAGTGACATTTCTCTAGGGACTCAATTGCCTCAATGTTAATACTTTGCTAAAGGCAAAAGGCAATCTTAGCCCTACCCCCAGGATCCTGAAAGTCTACTTTAATGTATAGAAATTTCTTTGGAAACTTCCTTTATCTCTACCTCCCCCCCCCCTCCAAGATGCGTGTTGGTAATCATTCCCCAAGCATACTGCTCACTATATACAGCTGAAGGGTCTCATGACTAAGGTTTTTTTTTTTTTTTTAAGATTTTATTTATTTATTTGGCAGAGAGAGATCACAAGTAGATGGAGAGGCAGGCAGAGAGAGAGAGAGAGGGAAGCAGGATCTCTGCCGAGCAGAGAACCCGATGCGGGACTCGATCCCAGGACCCTGAGATCATGACCCAAGCCGAAGGCAGCGGCTTAACCCACTGAGCCACCCAGGCGCCCATGACTAAGGTTTTATTAGACAAAAAATGACCTTTTCCCCATAATATCTAGCCCCCTCAAGGTCCTGGTAACCTTGCTTCCAAAATCCTTTTTTTTTTTTTTTAAGATTTAATTTATTTATTTGACAGACAAAGAACACAAGTAGGCAGAGAAGCAGGCAGAGAGGGAGGAGGAAGCAGGATCCCTGCTGAGCAGGGAGCCTGATGCGGGGCTCCATCCCAGGACCCGGGGATAATGACCTGAGCCGAAGGCAGAGGCTTTAACCCACTGAGCCACCCAGGTGCCCCGCTTCCAAAATTCTTTAGAGATTTATGCTACCCCTGACCCCCTCCAAACTTGAAAGTTTATCATCAGCCATTCCTCACGACTCCAGTGCAGCTCTTTCTGTCCATGGGTCCTGTCCTTGTGCTTTAATAAAATCACCTTTTTGTACCAAAGACATCTCAAGAATTCTTTCTTGGCTCTTGGCTTGGACCCCCAACCTTTTTCCTACATCACCCAGAAGGACTAAAAAACTGGGGGAAAAATTTGCAAGACCAGGTTGTTGGTTCTCACAATCTCCAAACATTGTTGCACCTCAAAATCTTTGGTTGGGCGGGAGGAGGGGAGTGCTTGCTTTAAAACCTGGACCTATAACTGCCTGGTTTCATAGGACTGTGATGGATCACAAAAATTTCCATTTTGAACAAGCTTCTCTGATTCTGAAGGAGCAGGTCAGCGGACTGCGTTTGGATCATCATGAATGCCCAAAGCATCCAACAACTAACATTTCACAGCTAAATCACCTCAGGGTAGGGTAAGAAGAGGCAAAGAAAGAGGTTGGAATAAGAAAGAGACTCTGGTGAGCCTATTTTTAAAACACTAGTAGGTCTCTAATGCAGGCCCTAGAGAAGTATGCCTCTTCTCCCCAGCGGTGCCAACTCTTCGTGGGTCCTAGCGGGACCCCGGAAGCCCCACAGCCCTGAAACGGCCCCCTTGGAACGAGGCGCTGCCACCCACCCCAAGTCGCAGGGGGCGCCACTCAGTCTCGCTCCGACAGGAAGGGGGCTCCGCTTCCTTTCTACGCTTGCGCGGCAAGGAAGCCCTCACTTCCGGCCTTGCGCGTTCAGGGCCCGAACCTAACGGGCGCAAAAGGTGAGTAGAGGTTGGTGTTTTGTCCGAGGGAGAAGCTCTCCGCCCTGCGGATCCTTCCCCCACGTTCTGGGAAGATCTCTTTGCGTGACTTCCGACTCGGCATTCTTGTCTTGCTCGAATCTTCCTCCCACAGTCAGCCTCGAGGTCCCAGTGCCGCCCTCTTCCCATGGCCCCTCTGGTCAGGCAGGCACTCCCCAAGCTTGCCTTACTCTGTAACACTCAGACCCTTCGCTTCCCCGATTCTCCTCCTTCAGTCACCTCCTCCCGAGACCACCTCCCGCAGAGTCCCTGTGCAGCGATGGGGAGGAGTGTCTTGGGTGGAGAGCAGGCCCTGGTACCCAACTGAGCACCCTCCCCCTCCTTCCCACGCCTCTCTTTGCAGACGGTCAGCATGAAGTTCAACCCCTTGGTTACCTTGGACCGCAGCAAAAACCGCAAACGCCACTTCAATGCGCCCTCGAACGTGCGCCGGAAGATCATGTCTTCCCCACTCTCCAAGGAGCTGCGGCAGAAGTACAACGTCCGCTCTATGCCCATCCGCAAGGACGACGACGTCCAGGTTGGTCTCCCTCAGGCTCTCGTTACCCAGCTGCATGTCGCACTGGTGCCGCCTAAGAATGTCATGTGTCCTAGGACGTAGGGAAGTTGTAGACTCTTAATGTCCTCTGGAACCCTGGCAATTAATGTTACCCGGCAGATGTATCCGACCGGAGATGGAGCCCACAGCCACCAGTGTGCCTACCCGGCTTAACTTAGAGCTTTCAGATGCAATCCCTTAATAATAATGACTGTTTTAAAAATCTTATTTATTTATTTGACAGATAGATCACAAGCAGGCGGAGAGGCAGGCAGAGAGAGGAAGGGAAGGAGGCTCCCTGCTGAGCAGAGAGCCCAACTTGGGGCTCGATCCCAGGACCCTGGGATCATGACCTGAGCTGAAGGCAGAGGCTTTAACCCACTGAGCCACCCAGGTGCCCCAATAATAATGACCGTTTAAGAAAAGTCGTATACTAGCCAAGCAAAACTTTGCTTTTCGATTTAGTCCCCTAGCTGCAAGTTTCCCAGGCATTGCTCAGGGTGGCTCTTGGAACCAGATTCTCCAGGAGAAAGTGCCATGATAAGAGTAATGTTTCCTTAGTATTGGGTTTAGCAGGGGCTGGGCATTGGGTGGTACTGGATTTGGCAGAGAGACTAGGGAAGCAGCAAGTCGGAGGCATGAACTTATGAAAGAGAACAATCCTTGTGAGAAAGTGAAGCTGTCTTGTTCTTCCTAGAGCTTCGGATGTGTGGTAAGAAAGAGAGAGAGAGGGATGACTAAAATAGAGGGGTAGATTAACTCCTTGAAGTAGTATTTAAGGGACAAGGCACTGTTCTAGACACTAGCGGTAAGCAGGACTGACTAGGCACCTGTCAACATGGAGCTCAACATTTTAGAGCAGAGATTCCCAGCCTCAGCACTGTTGACATCTTGGATAGGATAGTTCTCCGTTGTGGGGAGCTTTCCTGTGCATGGTGGGATGTTTAGCTGCATCCCTGACCTCTCCCCACTAGATGCCGGTAGTACCTCCTCACATTTGTGACAAACAAAAATATTTTCAGGTGTTGTCAAATGTCCCTGGGGGCCAAATTCACCCGTCCCCTTCCCCTAATTGAGAACCATTGTTTTAGAGAATGAAATGGGGGTAAGACTAAGGGATTTGGGGTATCTTCCAGGGCACTGGGACGCTTTGAAGCTTCGAGGAACATTTTGAGGAGAAGCTTGAAACAAGGGGATAATTTGGCCTGAGGGAATGACAGGAATAGAGTGGGAAGAATAGTTGAGAGGTATGCTCAACAGTTGCAACTTCTCTTCTGGGTCCTTCCCATCAGACGTGTTCTAGAATGGGGGAATTGCAAATGCATAGAAGGGCTAGGTAGGCACATTAAAAAAGAGATGTTGGCTGATGGCAAGAAAATAGCAACTGGAAAGCTCATGCCTCATTTAAAGAAAATTGTGGTGTACCTTCAGCCCACCACTACCATGGGAAATGCTGGCTCCCTATTGTCAGATTCTTGATTTTGCAAGAAAACTGGAAAGTTTAGATTCTCTTCCAGGCCTCCCATTTCCTTCCAGCTACTACTACAGAGTAGCAGCTGCCCTCTTCAAAAGTGTACTCAAAAGAGTTGCCTACACTTCCTCACCTCCCCATTTATGCCTAGACCCTCTCCAGTCTGATCTGTATCTCACTACCTAATAGAAGGCTGCTTTTGGCTGAGATCACCAGTAACCTATTTTGTGACTAAATCCAGTGCACACATCTTGGTCTCATGCTTGACTTTTTCAGCAGCATTTGGCATAGGTAGCACTGCCTTCTTGAAATAATCTGGCTTTTTGGTTTCCGTGACCATTCAGGCTCAGTTTACTTTTGACTTCTCAGATTCCCTTGCTCGTCTCTTCTGATCTCTGATTGCTGGAGTTTGTCAGGGTGTGCATGTGTTCTAACATCTCATCCTGCGTACATTGCCTCCCTGGGTGATAATATCTATTCCAAGATCTAAATGTCTGCCCTGTGCTAACAACTCCTTTTTTAATATACCAGCCCAAACCACTTTCCAGAGCACAAGCCTGTAGATCTAACTACATGTGCAACATCTCCTAGTCGTCTAAGCTTTCAGTCTGGAAGTACTCTTGACTGGAACACTGTCTCTAATCTGCTTTTCCTCCCATCTTTCACACTTCAGTAAGCAACACTTTTTCACTTGCCTGTGTCATAAACCTTTCAGTTCTCCCTAATGTCTCTCTCTTCCTAACCCGTGTCTAATCTCTTACTTAATTTTGTTGATTCTATCTCTAAAATAAGTCTTAATGCTGACCATTTCTTTACATTTCCAGTTCAAGACACTCCAGCTTTCACTCTTACCCTGGTCAGGCATTCTTCACAGAGGGGCATTTTTTGCAAATTAGATTCTGCTTAGAACCTATCATGTCAAGCAGTGCTTGACTGCTTACTATAAATCTAAAATCATTGACAACAAGGCCCCGTGTGTCCCAGTCCTGGTCTGCTTGCCCAGCCTCGTTTCAGCCTGTTATGCCCCCATATGCTCTGTTCTTCAGACACACTGGCCTTTTCAGGTCCTTAAATATGCTTTGATCTTTCCACCCTCAGGGTCTTTGCCCAGAACGCTCCCTTTGCCTGGAGTGCTCTTCCTTCTCCCTTTTACCTGACTTCTCATTTTCAGATGTTATCTTAAATGTCAGTTCCCCAGAAAAGCCTTCCCAGATACATTAATCAACATGGTATCATTACACCTTCTACTTGTATTTGCTTCCTGGCAGTGAATAAAATTTGATTTTATTTCTTTTTAAACTGAGGCATACTGGGTCCACCTTCAGCTGCTGGAGCTCGTCTTCCTCTCGACCATGTACCCCGACATCCGCCTGTGCCAGCACCTGTCTGCGCTCACCCTGCTCCCTGAGTCCAGGATCCAGGTGTGGTTCCAGAACAGGCGTGCCAAGTCAGGGCATCACAGCTGGAAATACTTCAACCCTCAGCCAGCTCAGAGCTTTGACTCCACCACTCTGTTCGTGAAACTGAAGCAAAATGATTGAAGTCCCAGCTGCCTTTTGAGATAATGTGAACTGCCCGCCGCATCTCAACAGGGTTGGAGAGGGCATCTCTGTCCTAGCTCTCAAGGTTAGAATTTTAAAACCTATTCTCTGTAGACACTGATTGAAAGCTGGGCTCATGAGAGGAACCACATCTTTTCTGCCTTTGGGAACTCTTGAGGATTCTAGGCGAGTTCAGAATAAGCTCAGAGGAGCCATGACAGCCAAGGAGACACACATCAGAATTCTGTCCTTTCCGGCTTCTATATTAAGTCCACGTCAAGGTCCTCTTTGATGAGGGCTTGCCGGTTCTCTGGCCTGTGAAGCTCCTTCACTTTTTGCTGGTGAACCTTTACTCTCGCTTAGTTCTCCTTTCTCTGCAGCACACTGCTCCTCCACCCCCTGTAATTGTGGCATTAATTTTGACCTGTGCACCTCTAGATCAGGACATTCAATTCGGTTTGAATTCCTGCTCCTTCTTGCCAGTTCTCTTATTTTTTGGGTTGGTTTTTTAGAACTCATTATCTTCTTTGCAAGGACACTTCAGCTTGGCCCAGTTTTGCCTTGTGCTCGGCAGCTCCCTCCTTCCCGTGCTTCCTCCAAGATGGTATGCTTAACTTTCTCTAACCCATCTCCTTCATCCTCATCCTGTGCTCAGGAGTGACTGCTTTTTAATGCAGCCTGTCATCTTTACATTTATTTGTAGTTCCGGTTATTCTGTATCCGGATTATTTCAAGAGTCCTTGCCTCTAGCTTCTCAATTTTTTACAGATTACTGTCTTTAGAAATCTGTAGTAGCCTCCATTTGCTATCAAATGATGGAAGCCTTTCCGTTCCTGTCCCAGACGACTAAATGATCTCTCTAGTAGCAGTGCAGTTTTGCAGATCTTATGGTCACCCGTGCACAATGTATGTCTGTCCCAGAGCCACTCCTTTCCATTTCGGAACCAAATGAATACCTTTCTCTTTCAAAACACTTGTGGTCTCCACCCCGCCCCCTTCTGTGGTCTGAAACTTTCTGTAATCATGATTTTGTACCTGTTACTTCAGTCACTCCAACATTCCCCTTAGCTCTTGTTACTATACTTCTGTACAATGTTAGCGAATTATTAAATGATTCCACAAATGAAAAATAAATAAAACTGAGTCATGATTTACATATAGTAAAGTGCACAGGTGAGTTTTGGCAGATGAAAAGCCATGTAGCCATCACCATAGTTAGGATCCAGTAAGTTTCTGTGTGCCCTACTCCAGTTAGTGATTACATATTTGCGTGTTTATTGGTTAACTGCTTGTTACCCATTAATTAAGATGAAGCCAGAGAATTTCTCTTTTTTGTTGCCTGACCTCAGTGACCTCATCTCTGGTGAACTCATTATCTTTACTGTAAATAGCTTCCATCCCTCTGTTCCACTGAAAGCACACTAGCCATGATCACCAGTGACCAGCTTGTCACATTTGTTCCTTTATCCTTCTTCTAAATGACCTTTCCTTGGCTGTAGTACCCAACATTCCCCCAGTTACCCATTTTCTGTGGCCACTTCAGTCTTCCTTATAAGCTTTTCCAAAATGTTGGCTTTCCTCAGATTTCTACAGTCTGCCCTCATACCACAAGCTCCCTGAACAAAATTAGGCTCTGAGTTGCCATCTTCGGAGGACTCCCAGGTCTTCGTTGCCGACCCATTTGGTCTTCCAGCTGTGATTGGAATTCTGCACTAGAATATCATGATACACCTCAAACTCAGCATGGTCCCAACTATACTGTTTTCTCCTAAAATGTTTCTTCCTGGGGCGCCTGGCTGGCTCAGTGGGTTAAGCCTCTGCCTTCAGCTCAGCTCACAATCTCAGGGTCATGGGATTGAGCCCCACATTGGGCTCTGCTCAAAAGGGAACCTGCTTCCCCCCTCTCTCCCTGCTTGCCTCTGCCTACCTGTGATCTCTGTCAAATAAGTAAATAAAATCTTAAAAAATAAAATGTTTCTTCCTCCATGTTCCATGCCTCTGGGAAAGGCATATCCATCCATCCAGTTGCTCAGCCAGACTCCGTCTTTGCCTCTTCTTCCCCTTTCTAGGCCAGCGGGGTTAGTCTTGTCCTAGCCCTCTCCTCTCCTCACTGGGTCTAGTGTTTGTCCAGTTCTCTTTAATCAGGGTGTTCCTTTGGACTTAATTTATTAATGTCTTTCTTCTGTCTTAATGATGTTGGTCAAGAGGGGCTTTTTCACACACTTTTCCTTGTGAGAGTCTCTGGTCATATAGAGTGGTGGATTTTCAGTGACGCGTGGCTATTCTCTCTTTAACCTGAAAAATCACCTTAGTAAGTAAGCTGAACAATCTAAATAGACATTTTAGGAGTGTTGAGATAGTCTAGCATTTTATATGTGCTATTTCCTTCATGTTTCTTAAAATCAGCATCAGCTCTATTGTGGCTCCTGTTGAATAGGCTTGTGCCTTCAGGGAAACCATACTCTAGTTGGTCTTGAATAGTGTTGGAGTGTGAGTAAGATTTTTAGTATGTGAGAAGAGCCCAAGAGATTTAAATTTAACATTTTAATTTTTTTCTGACTGTAAAATATTTGTGTTAATTATAGAAATCTTGAAATTTGGGGGCACCTGGGTAGCTCAGTCAGTTGAGTATCTGACTCTTGATCTCAGCTGAGGTCTTGATTGCAAGGTTGTAAGCTCAAGCCCCACACTGAAAAAAAAAAATCTTGAAATTTGGAAGAATAATACATTTCTTTAAATCCTACTTCCTGGCAACCATTACTGACACTTAGATACATTTACATCCCATTGTGTTATATGCCATATGCCTGAAACATATGCATACAACATTCACACTGTATTTCATATAAAGCTTTGTTTTCTTTTTTTTTTTTTCCCTAAAGGTCCTATCATGAGCATTTTCCTAGGTCATAAGTTATTCTTTGAAAGCACAGATTTTAAATGGTTGCAGGAGAGTCTCAGTAGAGTATCTTTAACCATCCTCCATTTAATCTCTTGAGAATGATTATATTTTTTCTTTCTTAAATTTTATTTCCTTTTATTTGAGATAGAATTGATATATAAGACTATTAGTTTTGGGTGTGCAGTGGTTATACTTTTTTACTCTCAGGACTAGTTCTGTGGTGGCTATTCTAGTTCAAGGAATTTTTTGTTTCAGTTAAGAAAGAAATTCAGGTGAAGAATTTTCACCTGACTTAGAACAATACAGACCAGATTTATAGCCAAAAAATAGCTGACTTTTGACTGCTAGGGTTAATCTGCTTTTGTGCAAAAAGTTATATGTTAGCCTGTGTATTCCTGATAGTTTCCTCACTGTAACATTCACATGTTAGAATGGGGAGAAATTCTCTTTTGTGTTTTCTCTTAGGTGGTTCGAGGACACTACAAAGGTCAGCAAATTGGCAAGGTGGTCCAGGTTTACAGAAAGAAGTATGTCATCTACATCGAGTGGGTGTAGCGTGAGAAAGCTAATGGTACAACTGTCCATGTGGGCATTCACCCGAGCAAGGTATGGCCTGGGACCGAGCAGTGGTAGCAGCTGTGTAGCTGCTTCTAGAGGGAGGTCAGGCAGGCTTGATCAATTCTTTGGCCTAGTGATACCTTCAAGGACCCAGATTCTTTTCTTGTCTGTTTTGTCATCCTTGGTGAAGGCTGTGTTCGAGCAGGTTGCAAGAGGGTTCCAGGTATTGTGAGCATCACTTTGCTACTGGGTGATGTCCAGGGGGAGAAGAGAGACCATCTGTTCCTGTGGCCCTCACGCCCACCCGGTGGAATAGGCTGTTCTTCATTTGCACTCCTATGTCATGCACTGTATTATAGGGTCTTTCTCCTCCACTCTTTGAGGTAGGGGCCGAGTGGTGAGGGTCTTTCTTATCCTTAAGGTCTATGATCCAGTAGCTGGTCGGAATGCAGAAGTTTAAAAAACAACAAATTTTGCTGACCAAAGGGTGATAGACGAACAAGAAACATGTTGGTAGTATAATTTTCCCAGCCTAAATAATATTTGATATCACTAAACTATCTTAACTGGTTCTCTTAGGAGTTACGGGTAGGAGGGTGGGTAGCAGAAGGAACCCAAACTGCTATTGTTTGGAAAAGCTCTTCAGTAGAAAATAATTATAAGTTCTTTCCTTAAAAAAAAAAATAAAGATCTGTTTTCTTACTCTAAAACAGGTGGTTATCACCAGGCTAAAGCTGGACAAAGATGGGAAAAAAATTCTTGAACGCAAAGCCAAATCTCGACAGGTCGGAAAAGAGAAAGGCAAATATAAGGAAGAACTTATTGAGAAAATGCAGGACTGAACATAACCTGTTGTGTGTTAGGGTCCGTGATCAAAGGAACAAGACTGATACAAAGCGAAGGTCAAGCAAAGCTTTATTTCACCCCAAGCATCAAGGATCAAACTGACCGGTCAGGGTTGTCTCTTATGAAAAGGTGACGACGATGACCCCGGCAAGTCCGCTCCCAACGTGGCTGCTCTGGACGAGGCCTTTCTGCAGATGAGGCCACTCCGGACGAGGCCACTCCCAGGATGAGGCCGCAGCTGATGAGGTCGCTCCTCAGACAGGGCTGCTCCCCGAACAGGGGCTGCTCCGGCGAGGCCGCTCCCCAGACAAGGCTGCTCCCAAAAAGAGGCCACTCTGGAGGAAGCCTCTTCCCAGACGATGTTGCCTCCCACAGGGCTGCTCACCGAGGAAGCCTCTTCCCTGAAGAAACCGCTCCCCGGAATGTGGAGCTGGCTGTGGCTCAGGGTGTCAAGGCCGCTCCTGGCGGCGAGGCCATTCTCGGCGAGGTTGCTGGCGTCTACTCCGTTCCCCGTATCCACTGCCAAGGGCCGTGGTGTGTGGGCGGGGCGTCTCGGGGCCGCTGGTGGCTCAGGACCGCTGGCGACTGGGCTGCTCCCCGCGGCGCTGCCAAGGCCGTGGTGTGTGGGCGGGGCCGCTGGCGTCTCGGGGCCCCTGGGGGCTCTTCTAGCTCTGACAAGAGCTGTTACAACTCTCACAGCTCTTACAAGAGCTGTTACAGCTCATACAGCTCTTACAAGAGCTGTTACAGCTCTCTCTCTTCTGCTCCCGCCAACTCTCCTTCTTCTGCTCCTTCTTCCTTCTTCTTCCTCTGACAGCTCTCCTCCTTCTCCCTTTCACCAGCCTCGCAGACCAACCTTTATGGGGGTGGTTGAGCCCCGCCCCTACACAGGTAGCCAATTGAATCCCAATTTCCCCAGTGGATATACCCACGCCCCACCGGTTGGACGTCTCCTCCCGGCCTGCCCCGCCCCTACTTCTGGGGGCCACAAGCTAGTTCCTCTGGGAGGGGCAGGCCCTTACATTGTGCAAGCATGGTTTACTGTAGACCTTTAGCCTGGTGTGTGTTCCTTTGAAACTTTTCAAGATGTCTGCCAGACATTTCCTCTTCTTCCTGTTTTGCTGTTGATAATGTAGCTTTGTAAATCCGCTTTTGCTGTTTTGATAAATAATTTTTATGAATAACAGTTGAAAAGGTTTCTTAATTCCAAGGGGAATTTGCATTGTTTTATAGATAAAATTCATTTTACTATAAATCCCTTGTTGCCATTCTTTCCTATGTTTAATGTACTGAGCAGCGGAATAGCAGTGGTAGGATGGCTCTCTCCTCATGCTAGGACCCTCATGCTGATGGGGTGGATAGGACAGGGCTCTGGTCCCTAATTCAAGGGTTTGTCCCACTCAGAGGTAGTCATGATGTGAACTGGCACGTACAAGACCTCACTGAGTGGCTGGTGATGCTCTGCACATCTGTCTCAAGTCTGATGGATTACTCCCTGGGCCCTTGCCTCTCCCTTGTGCTCCAGCCCGACCAAATGGCATGCAGCTCCCTGACCACGTTGCCCTTCCCAAGGTCTTGACTTTGCAAGTGCGTTTCCAAATGACTGAAACGTCTTTCCTCTCACCTGGAGCTAGCTAAGGAAACTGACGACAGCCTGGAGTCCAGCAAGATTGGTTCACAGACAGATTATGTTTGTCCTTCTGTTTTCATAATTTTACTAGGTCAGTTGCCAACATTTAAAAGTTCAGGGATTTCACAGAGAAATCCAGCTCTTGTTTCATCCAGTTACATGGGACCCTGATCTGATACAGTATCCATTGCGTGGAGCTCAGAGGCTGGCTGCTCCCCATCCAGTCTGCACCATTCGTGTCCCCAACTTGCCGGGCCCCCACTTGGCATCTTGAATTTTAGGCTCCAGATCTAACTGCAGCCACCCTAACATGAGTTTGCTCCTTAGTGAATTAGAGAGACTACACCAGGTGTTGTTATACAAAGGAAAGTTTATTTGCAGCAAATAAGATCACAGGGAATAGCTTCCAAGTCCATGACTCCCCAGGTAGGGGTGAATAGTGTTTGTTTTTTTGGGGGGGGGTTACGATGAATATTCAGAAAGGGGAGTTTCTTCATTATACGTAGAGGTGGGCATAAGGTTGTGCACATGTCTTAAGGAAACATGCCTATGTAAGCATTGTATGTTATATTAATGACGTTCTCCTTGGGTGGGGATTTTAACATTATAATGAAGCAGAGGTAACTGTGGGGCAAGGGGAAGGGCTATGGGCAAGCTCTGAGAGCCAATATAAACTGGTTTGGGTCTTGGGCTCCTTATCTGAAGGAAGGAATGAAGGGCCGTGCTTACCTTTGAAACAGCCCTGGGAGTTTTGCCCCTGATTTATTATTTCTGATATGGTTAGGCCATTTCCTGGCTTACTAGAATCTATTTTTGCATCCTCTTTGTTCCCTTAAAATCCTTAACTGCTGAGGTTTTGTTTTTCTCTGTAATTCTGACACCTCCTAGGAAGTTCTGCAAGAAGCATGCTAGAGCTAGAGCCAGTGAGGCTTAGGTCATGGAAAATAACTGGGCCTCAAATGACTTCTTTTTGTTTTCCTGGGGACCCCTAACTCTTTCTGCTTACGTAACTTCTAGTTACTGTTCAGGATTTAGCTCCAGACCCACATCCAAAATCCTCCCCTGGGGCACCTGGGTGGCTCATTCGGGTAAGTGTCTGACTCTTGATCTCAGCTCAGGTCTCAGACTCAAGGTTGTGAGTTCAAGCCCCACAGTGGGCTCCACACTGGGCTTGGAGGCTACTCAAAGCAAAAAAGGAAAAAAAAAAAAAAAGTAAATAAAATCCTCCCTTGCTTCAGTGATAAATTATTGATCAAAATTCATAAATGATGAAAATGCATAAAATTATAAAATGGCTTTTGTGGCTCTCTAGTGGCCTGACACATTGGACTTTCTTAGTAAATGTTGATTCTGTTATTTCCCATTTTGCCTGATGAAGAAAAACGAATTTAGATTAATTGTCCAGATTCCAGAGAACACAAGAAATAAGAGTCAAGATTTGAACCCCGGCCTGACTGCATCAAAGACCACCCATGTTAGCCATCTATCTCTGGTGTTCCTTCTTTTACCCTTTCAGCCCTGTTCCAGAGTCTGGCAAGAGGCTGGCCATCTGTGGGCAGCAAGAAGAACCTATATATTTGCAGCAGTAGGGCTGCTTAGAAAAGCATTGTCACCATCTCTGCCACAGGATAGTCATGGCCTTTGCACAAGTTAACTTCCTCGGACCTTCCGTTCTCCCACAAGCAAATCAAACAGTTAATACCTGTGCTGCCTTGCTGTCTCATGGAAAATGGCAGAATCAAATCTGCTCTTTCTGAGGACTGAGAAGTCTGAGTGTACAAATCCTAATATTGCTATTGTTTACTGGTATTTCCAATTCTGACATGCATTTTGTGCTGAAAGAAGTAATAATTTTTCACACACACAAAAAATCAATGGAATCATAAACCACAAAGTTCAATATGCTTTCTCTGATTTGGGGGCATTGATGTAAGAGTAGGCAGAACGAGTACTCGCTTCGGCAGCATATATACTAAGAGTAGACAGAAGGATACTGTCTTGGCTCTAAAGCCAGAGGGATCTGGATTCAAATTCTGCTTTGGTTTTGGGGCATTTTTAATGAGCTTGTTTCCCTATCTAGGTAAGAAGGTAAAAATGCTTCTCTTGGTGAAAATGCCTACCAAATGTAAAAACTAATATAATGGTCCATCAGACTCTCCTGACTTTGGGAGTCCCTCTGATGCTTGCTAGTATTAGTCTCCGCCCCGTGGATTGGTGGTGATTCCCTGACACAGTAATTCTGGAGAGAGACCTCTTTGAATCTCGAGTGCATGTATATTTCTGACATGTCTCTTATGTGAGGCTTACAACCAGTTAACTTTGGGAAATTGTGGATTACGATATATGTAAAGTAGGGGCAGGTGAGTGACTCAGTTGGTTAAGCATCTTATTCTTTTTTTTTTTTTTTTAAGATTTTATTTATTTATTTGACAGACAGAGATCACAAGCAGGCAGAGAGGCAGGCAGAGAGAGAGAAGGAAGCAGGCTCCCTGCTGAGCAGAGAGCCCGATGCGGGTCTCGATCCCAGGACCCTAGGATCATGACCTGAGCCGAAGGCAGAGGCTTTAACCCACTGAGCCACCCAGGTGCCCCAAGTGTCTTATTCTTAATTTTGCCTCCAGTCATGACCTCAGGGTCTTGAGATGGAACCCCGCATTGGGCTCACTCCGGGCGCAGAGCCTGTTTGGAATTCTCTCTGTCCCTCTCGCCCCTCGCTCTCTCTTTCTGTCTCTGTCTCAAAAAAAAAAAAAAAAAAAAAAAAAAAAAATATATATATATATATATATATATATATATGCACATGCAGCATGTAAAGTAGGTGCATGTTATCTTTAGCAGTCTAGTGAGTAGGTAAACAGGTCTATAGTTTGTTTTTTCTAATTTTGAGTTTTGTCTTGATTCGCAACACATAATTTAGTATCCCAAAAGTTGCATAAAAGTTGAGTTTCATACTACATTAAATTTCTAGTAAGGATGACATATTCTGAGAGCCTGGTCTGGGTCCTAGGCTCCAGCCATTATTTTCATCAATAAACTTAAATTATTATGTTTCCTGGGAGTCAGACTTGGCTTGTTTTCAGCAACTTGTTCAGTAGAAATGATAGATAAGAGATTTGAGAGCTGTAATCCCCACCACCAGCCCTCACAGGCCTCACAGAACCTACCCGAATACACAAACTGAGCCGGGTTAGTCACAATGCGTGGTCAAGGGCAGGAGCTCAGCATCATACAAGAGTTCTAATCCCAGCTCTGTCAGTTCCTGGCTGGGTGAC